GAGGAGATTTTTAAATTAAGGATGGACTCCCAATAAAATGTGTTGTCCTTATCAGGTGTACCTCTGGGTTGAGGGTCATTACAGAGGGTGGTGTCTCAGCCTGCAGCCTGAATCCTAGGGATTGCTAATGCTGACCTCAATTTTGCAAAGTCTGTCCTTACTTCAAATATTTTTGACTCTAAATGCTAGTTCCTCAGTCTCTAAATTTCACATTTTTCTAGGTCATCGGGCTAAGTGAACTACAAACCAAACACATTTTCGACATCTCCTGGTTATTTTTGTCAAAATATCACCTCTGAGCAGTGGTCCTTGGTCCGAACTATGACCTGTAACAGGAGCTGATAGATGGCCAATTGGTTCATTGACCACTGAGAAGTAAATGAGTAACTGTAAGTCACAGGGCTGCCTCAGCCACACTCTGCTAACTCTGGTCATCTCCACAAGGTTCCTTGGTCACAACCATTCAGATTCAAGACACTGACCTCAGTTGCTTGTTTATCTGGTATGTCTTCCAATTTATCTCACAATAAACTGTTTAGTAAAAGTACAAGTCCCTTGGGATCAAACCAGTAGAGCTGTACTTAGGAGCCCACACCCCAGACTAGGCAGGTGGAGGTCCAGTCTTCTTACCGATGATTAGAGAGCTCTTGAACAAACTGCTCATCATCTCTGTATCTCCACTTTTCTGTTGATAATATGGGGACATAGTGCTTACCTTGGAGAGTACCTGGACACTAATGTGACAATGTCAGCTACACAGAAAGAGCCCTGTGATTATTGGGCAGGATCAATCAGTTTCACTTTCTGAGGGACATTTTCCATATGTCCCTTATTTCCAGGCATGAGCTTCTCAACTTCAGTACTCTTGCTATTTTGGATCACATGATTAGTGGTGGTGGGGTCTGGTGTGGGGGTCTATCCTGTGTATTGCAGCACATTTAGCACCATCTCTGGCCTCTATCCACTAGATGCCAGTAGCACTTCTCCCTCACAACTGAAAAATGTCTATAGACATTGCTAAATGTCCCTTGGGGGACAAAATCACCACCCTCATTGAGAATCACTGGTCTGGAGCTTCCTTGTCTTGGGGATCCAGAACTTTCCAGAATTACTTCCCTGGAAACTTTGTCCTTGGTTCCTTGGTATTATCTCATGGATGAGAGTTTATTATTTTATGAGAGTTTATTATTTTATAACTTTAACAGTAAAGTTTTGTTACTTACAAAGAATTACTCATATTCTGCTGCTGCAAGCATTAATTTCTATGATTTTTTTTTAAATGTCTTTTTCTCAGCAAGAGGGAAGGGGGCAGTGAACAAATTATGTATTTGATTTGTGAATTCAAAAATTACTACCAGCATTTATGAGGAATGGATTCTGATTATTTTGAGTTTGGGCCATTCCACGCTCTCCTGGGATGCCCTTCAGCTGGGGTGGTCAGTTGACTCTACAGAATGTAGAATATGCCCCTTGGAAATCTCTGGTCCTAGGGATTCCCAGTCTGTTAAGTGGAATAAGGTTGAAAGTAATGGTTTACTGAGTGCTTAATATGTTCTAGGCCCTCTGCTAGGATCTACAGATATTCATTTCGCTTACAGCTCATGACAAAAATTTTTCCATTTTATAGATAAGGACACATTCAGAAGTGGGCTAATTGGCTCAAGATACAATCACTGTGGTGACTCTGGGACTGATATAGTCCAGACTCTTCTGGTTCTCCTACTGACATCTGCATTCCCACTCAACTCTTGGGCCCTAGGTGTACATGCACTGCCTGGACTCTCCAGTGCCTGTGTGATTCTTGGCCTTAGGCTCCTGTCCTTTAAATGTTGCTGCAGGCAAAAAGGAAGGAAGGGAGAAAGAAGGATATCTCCACTCTGGCTCCGAGGTTCTCATCATAACTTTGCAATCTCTGAATTGTCAGGGTAAAAGGTAATTATAATAGTAAAATATTCCCACTTCCAATGCTGAATGAGTTTAAAAAGTTTTGAGACCCATTCATGTAATTTTTATCTCATGTAATCATCAAAATATTTCTGGTATAGGGCAGATATCAAGGTCACCCGCTAACATGGCTGGAACTAAAACTTCAATCTCGAAACTCTTAAACTTGTTAGGAGAGAGAACTGCAAACCTTATCACTTTATGGGAGGAATAAAAACATTTCATCAAAAATTATCTACTATGCCACAATGATGCAGAAGGAACCAGAAAGGAGAACTAGTTTTCTATTTCCATACAGAGTGCTTAAATAGGAACTGCCTGTCAGCAGCTATAGGAAAATATTGCATTTGATTGCTGTCCTTGCTTACTTCTGCTTCTTTTAAGTTTATCTTCCTGGGTTTATTTTCCTAGTAAAAAACTTAAAATTCTTTGATTTCACTTCTCTTATTTACAAATTTACAAGTAAGAGAAGTGGTTTAAAAAATAGACATTAATATTTCAGTGGTGTTGTGAAATACACTTTTTATAAGAAATGTGGAGTTCTTTCTAGATATATCTTCCCAGACCACTTGATTTTACTTCCATATAACTCCACAAAGCAATACTAAAATAGGTCATATTGAGGAGTTTGTTCAATCTTTATTTACTTTGAATTTGTTGCAATTGTGGCCTAACTGGGAACCAACAACTGAATTGTTTACCAGAATAAATCAAACAGGGAGTTATTTAGCAACAGCTTTCTGGAATGTTTCTGTCTGGGGATTCTCTTACACAGGTTTTCTTTATATGCACTGAAGAGGAACAGGTATGCTTCTTTTATATTTAAATATTATAAGCCTTAACTTACACAGACTTCCTTTTACCTTTTATTGAAATAAAAACTCCTGTTACCTTTTGGAGACTTCTATTGCACATTTCTTTAAGAAAAATATATATTGGAGCCTAATGATACAAACTATATATATAAAGTCATAATTAAAGATAATGAAAGAATTATGTTTTTGTGAAAAAGAATATTCAAATAAGGCACCCAGAAGTCTGAAAACAAAACTTGAGTCAAGGCATCCTACATGAAACGTGCTTACATTAAGCAGCAAATTTTTTTGGGGGGGGCAGGGGGGGAAGAGTAGCAGGGATTGAACCCAGGGTTTTTTTTTTTTTAACCTTTATTTTGTTTATTTTTATGTGATGCTGAGGATTGAACCCAGTGCCTCATACATGGCAACTGCTCTACTGCTGAACCCCAATCCCACTTGAACCCAGGTTTTCTTTTAACCACTAAGCCACATCCCCAGACATTTTCATTCTTTTTTTTTTTTGGACAGGGTCTCAGTCTCTTCAACCACTGGGATTTCAGGCATGTACCACTGTGCCCTGCAGCAAATGAGCTTTTGAGGATCTGATTAAAGTAAATAGCAACGTGGATGATGCTGGTGAAATTCCCTCTCTCAGTGGGTGAAGTCTCTGCTCTCAAGGCAGTTACGTTCTGATTCCTCTGAGGACGGAGGCAGGCCTCCTACTTGGTCTGTGCTTTGAGTAGTGGGACAGTGACGTGGAGAAGCATGCTTGTCTACTTACTTCCTCTGCAGATTCATTCACAGACCTCCTAGGATTCAGCTGTTATTCCTCCAGCCTGCTCCCAGGTTGGGAAGACCTGCTGGGGTTCTATTTGCGTTTTTAGTTCTAAGAATTGAAGTGTCTCTGATTTTCTTTTCCTTTTCTCAAAATTTCTCAATTTGCCATAATCCCTATAATTATTGATTAATTATGAATTGATTAATTATCCCTAATACTTGCTAGTTTTATTTTGCTAATGTACTTTCTAACAGTACATGCAGGATAAACATTATTGTTAAAATCATAGGTACTTTATTTATAGACACTGAATTTAATAACTGCAAATTGGAATGGACTATATATTGTGTAGTATTATAACTTGTCAAAGAAACTTTCAAAGTTTAGACTACAGAGAAGATGTATGTAAAGATGCAGGGAGAGTCTTCAACCATTCAGGATATTTCTTTTAGCTACATTTATCTTTGAGTAAAAGAAAAGGGTAGAGTTTTTTCACACTGTCCCTTAAGAAAGTAACATTTGTTGTAAGGATTTCAAAACCAATTCCCATTTTCCTCATTTGAAATGTATGAGGCAAGTTTTTTTTTCTCTTGTATTTAAACATTGAGATTTGTTTTTAAAATTGGACACCCTTTTCAAATCTCAACATATCCGATACAACATTTAACTTTCATCTACTGCAGCATCAAGCCAAGAATATTTTTTAGAATATCTAATGGATATGCCAAGGAATACCAAGATAAAAAGCACAGTCTCTGCCCTTGGGCTACTAGTGTAGTGGGACATTTTAGAGTTATTTGTACAACTCTAAATTGAATGTATTCTATTTAAACTTTGTCTCCACTGCCAAATATCAAATAATTGAAAAAGAGAGCCATACCACTGGTTCATAAAATAGAGAGTACAAATCTGTGCAGGTCTTTTAATGTCATAATGTCATCTCAGGATCCAGGGAGCAACTGTGCACTGTCAGGAATTTCCTTGTTTATTTCCAATTATTTTGTTCATTCAGCAAAGAGAGAGTGTGTGTGTTCAAGTAAACTGACATTTGATAATACTGGTAAAGCAAGTGGATCAACAGATGAGACCTGCGGTTGGTAGCAAATCTGTTTCTTCAGTAAGAAATTCATCTAAGATTCATATGCTTTTTGGAGTCCCTCTCTCTCCAGTTTCCAATTAATCATAAGATTCACAGTAGGTCTAAAATAGGCACACAGAGAATAACAAGAGGTAAATTTAATTTTGAGTTGAGGGTACTAAAGGACATTTGAAGAGAGGCCTGGAGTTTAAGGTGGGATCCTGTGGCCCACTGAGACCATTTCTGAGAGATGGGCTTGGCTCCTGTCATTGCCTTCTAATATGCTATATTAGAGAAAAACAGCAACACTTGACCACAGCCTGAGAGACAACTTGATTCATTCAAAGGAAAGTTAAAGACTTGATAGATGCAGCAATAAACAACAAAACTCATCACCAGTTACCTTACTGCAGTTGAATCTGGAGGCAAACGTTGTTGGTGACTTGCTTAGGCGACTGCAATCTTCCTGCTGTGCACAAGGAAGGAAGTGCACCCTGACCAAGCTGATCCTCCTGAGGTGTCTGGGCTTCCGTTGAAATAGAGCACCTACATGTGTGTGAGGAGTCCCAGTTCTCTCTGTGAGTCACACCCATTGTGACGCTGTTGGATGACTAAGTCTCTTCTCAATGGATGAGAGAAGCCAAGAAGCTGTAGGTCACGTGTTTCCAAAAGAACCAGAGTATTCTTGATAAATTTAATATTGCTGCTTATAGAAAGAACCTTTAAAAAAAAAAAAAGACCGGTACTATTCTCTTCCCTGGGACCAAATACTATAGCTGAAATAATGTGACAAGGAAGCATTGTGTAATCTGCCTGGTATATTGTGTTAATAATTTAATTTTTAAATTATGATTATTGTTCTTGATTGAGGTGTTTTCCTCTCTGTTAGCATGCTTTTGACTATATAGTATTCCTGTCCTCCTAACAGAGTAAGTTGGAGCAATCAGTCTCTAATGATTTTATTTTATTTTTTTAAACATTGGTGAGCAAGGAGATCAAAACAATTTAATGAAACAAAGTTTTGGAATTATTCATGCTTCCTAATTTGTATTATAAGGTATAGTAATGACAGCATACTGACATGGTGTCTGGTACTGAGACTCCTGAGGACAGAAAAGAGGTGGACTGTTTCAGAGCTGGTCAGAGGGGACCTGGCATGGCCCTTCGGTTGCAATGGAAAGTGTTGAGGCTGCAGGTATTGAGGGGACTAGGCAGAGCTTACCCTCCTTTGAGCCTGCCAGACCTCCCCTGTTTTAGTCACACAGGCAGGCAAAACTCCACCGATATTTAAAAAAATTTCTATTTCCTTGTATGCTAGTTTAATGCCATATTCCTTAGATATATTTTATATGCCTATATAAAATACAGATACAATGCTGTATTCCCCAGGCTCTGTGTTGCGTTGTGGTTTCATTCAAATGTGAATTTTAATTTTGATAACTGGATTATAGAGGGGTAAGGCAGGATCCTGCTAGACAAAACACTGAAGACATAGCTCTCCTTTTTCTTCTAAAGCTATATGTCCCCCATATTTCTGCCCAAGGGTGCTTGCCTTCTTGATCCCTTTCCAAACACCAAAACTCAAGAACACCCGGATCCTTGGGTGTCCCAGGCACACATATCAGGTTTCTGTTGCAGTCTGTGGATCTGTGGTCCAAATCCCAGAGAGTCCTGGAATGGAAATTGTGCCTGTGGAGAAACACACTTACCCCACACTGCAGGCTGTGGTGTGTCCCACTCCTGTCTACGTGCTGACCTCCTCCTTCCTGGCAGAATAATAGAATCCTGTCTCCAAGGCCACTGTTTCTCTGAAAAACTGAATTGGTATTGTAAGTTCATGTTTTCAAAAACATGCTTGGCATTTTCTTCCTCCTTCCTTTGTCTGCAGATGGTTCTCTTATTTTCACTATAAAGGGAAACTGTCCCTTGGTCCCCCTCCCTCCTTTTCCACCAACAAAGCCTTTGTCATGTGAGCCGCTTATGAATAGGTAGACTTGGCCTGAACTTGGAGCTTTGTTACTCATTTGGCTTGCTGTGACTCTCCCCACTGAAGGATGAAGCTGGGTTAATCTTTGTTTCCCTAAACTATAAGATTCTTAGATTATAGTAATAGTTAAAGATTGAGTCATGGGAACATTCGGGAACTTGTTTAAGGAAAGATTTTTTTTAAAATTATTATTTGCAGAACACACATGCTTTCAGCTTATGCAAACAAGAGATCCTGGTTTGAACAATGGAGCAAGGAGTACTATATGAGGAGCTCATTGTTCTGGGAAGGTAGATAGAACCAGTGAGAAGATGGGTGAGAATGGAGGTGATGGGCGAGCAGAAACACTGGGGATTCCCAGCAACAGGGAGAATTGCAAGAAGCACAGGTGGAGGCTTAGTAAGAAAATGTGGCTCCCACAGAGGGGAAAGGGTAGGCACTCCTTTCAGTGTCACTCTCACATTTGCAAAAACTTTACCACTGGAGCAGGCTAGGGAACCCAGCAAACCTTCCCCTAAAGAAGGAGATAAAATTCCAGAGGAACCAACCTTATCTCAGGAGGAAAGGGCTGTCCTTATCTTGAAGATACAGAGACATGAAAGAATCTGAACAAACAGGTCTTCTGTCAAGTGCCCCTCACCCTCCGTTTATTCCCACTTGCTCACACATCTCCTTTGTCCAATCATACTTCTCCATGACCATTCACTCTTCACCAAACCCAGCAGAAAAACAGTTTCTCTGATTTCTTTGGGTCTTCATTTCTGAAGGCTCCCATGTTCACATAAATCTTATATTAAATAAACGTGGGTGCTTTTTTCTTGCTAACTTTCTTCTTGCTCCTCCTCCTCCTCCTCCTTCTTTTTCTTCTTTTTTGGTTCCAGTAGCTTCAGTCACAAACCTAGCAATGAATGAGGAATCTTTCCACTCTTACACATCATATCCTGGGAATGGCAAAGTTGTTAATGAAACTTACTGAAAGATGGAGGACACAGTGTTGTGACCACTTGTTGAAGTTGGTGGGTTGTAGGCACAGAAAATACCCACAGTGAAGTAAAATGGCCTGATGCAGGTTGGCATCCCAGTTATTATGGGTGGTACTCTGGTACTATACAGGTATGTGTTAAGCGAATGTCCCACATGAACACTCTTCCCAGGGTACCAGGGGCACCTCCCGGCTGGCAGCTTCACAATGCAGGGTGCTGTTGCTCCAACTTCTTTCTGAGTACAGAACCTGCCCTTTGTGGAAATCAGGGTTAGGACGCTGGCTTCATGTCAGTTCCATCTATATGGGGTTCATTGGACCTTTAAACCAAATCCCAGGGGCCAATAGTTTCAAGAAATGTTTTTTCTACTCTTTTTAGTTTTGTTATTAATAAAAAGTAATTGTGCCATGAAAAGCGGGGGGGGGGGGTCGGGGGGACAGAAAGAAAGAAAAATTACTCTTTACTTAACAGACCGGAGCAATCCTAACAATCATTCGTCAAGCACTGTTCTACTGCACTGTGTTATCTAATTAGCACAGCCACCGCATGAAGGTCTTCTTGCTCTCATTTACAGTTGAGAAAACTGAGACTCAGAATGGCAAAGTACTTGCCTAGCTATTCAGGACCAGGTCTGTCTTACTTCAGGGTCCATGGTGTTATACTCTAGATCACTATTATTGAAGCCAGCAATAGACAGACAGTCAGTATAGATAGGTAAATCAAATTAGATGGATTAAGGAGGCCAATTTGAGTAAATCTGGGAAGTTGGAGAGGAATTGAAATGCCTAATGCCTTTAGGTTATCAAGATAGCCTGCCCCTGCTTCAATTTATTGCTAAGGTAAACTGTCTCAGGGATTGTCCCTCCCTGCAGGGATTTGTTAACTATGCCCCCTTCCAGTCCAGAGCACTCCAACTTGGTCCCTCCTGCCCATTTGCTTCTCACCTTTTGGCCATCCCACAGCATCTCCTGGGCCTAGTCACGTATGCAGGAAGGAGAGAGAGAAGGAGAAAAGAGCAGGAGAACAAAGGAAGCCCAGGACATATAAAAAGGCAGAACACCCTCGCTTCTTGGGATACCAGCTATGGCCCCCTTCTCCTTCCAGGGAGAAGTCTATGTTACCCCTTTTAAATTAACCCTGCTTTATATGCTTGCCTCTGTGTGCTTCTCTAATGTTCTACTTCAACTTGTAGGGTGCAGAACTCATCTCTGGTAACCAGCAGTATCATTACTATTAATTTAGTCTTTTTTTCCCCTTACATGTATCTTCATATGTATAATGATCTTCAGGTATCTTCATATGTATAATGACTAACAAAACTACTACATGTCTTATAGGCTGCTTTCTTGAAATATTATCATAAACAGCCAAAATAATTTCTGATCTCAGTAAATGTCCTTTTCTTTAATGAATTTAAAAAAATGGTTGTTGTTATATTGCATCATATGGACTTGATTAACCTCCTCTAATGGGGCACTTAGATAGTTTCTAATTTTTCATTCTTTTGAATAATGCTTTGAAGAGTCTGAACAAGTAAGTTTTGCTAAGTGCCCCCAGTTTATTACCGTCACACTTCCCCTCGGATCACGCTTCTGTGTGTCTGTTCATAAAAATATAGCTTTCTCTGGTTCTTTAGATCTTCATTTATGGTCTTATTTAACTTTGGTTAAATAATCATGGTTTAAAAATATGGTTTCCTCTTGTTAATCTGTCTTTTGATACGGGGTCTTAGCTAAGCACCTTGTGAAGGGTGAGGAAAAGGTACTACCTTTTCTCCCCTACATCGGCAAATAAAATGGTTATCACTTTAAGCTACCAAGTTTTGGGGTAGTGTGTTATACAGCAAAAGCTAGCCAATATGTGCTTGTGTAGCAGATGTTTGTTTTCTCCTGCCTGCTTGTTATAGCCATTTGCTATTCTAGATGGAAAACAGGACACGGAGAGAACCTGATAATGTTATGTCTGCCAGAGGGTGGGTTTTTTTAATTATTAATTTTTAGTTATTGATGGACACAATACCTTTATTTATTTACTTTTATGAGGTGCTGGGAATTGAACTCAGTGAGTGCCTCACGTGCTAGACAAGTGCTGTATCACTGAGCTATAACCCCAGCCCCAGAGGGTGATTTTTAGTGTTCCCCAATTAACAGGTAATTCAATATGGGTTTTAAAGGTACAGAATATCATTTCTCAATTTCTTTGGCAGTAAACACCCTAATTTATTCTGTGGTAAGCAGCTAGTTATGTGTTTGAATGTTTGAAAAGCCAGTGTGGAGTGATCTCCTGGGCAAAGGCAATGTTCTGCTTTTGCCAGGAATTGAAAAGTTGTTTAAGCATTATGACCAAATTTTCAACAGAGCAGCACCAGTAATTAAAAAAAACAAGCAATGTACTTTTTGGAAGAGGAGCTGGGTCATGACCCCTTGTTGCCCCTGTAGCATACCGGCAGGGTATGCATACTGATATTACCATGCCAGATCACGAAGGGTTTCAATATGGAGCCTGCAATGTTGCCCCCAAGAAAGACTGTTCCTCTTTATAGATGAGAGTCCTTTTAGGCATATGTTTCCAGAATAT